GAGGGAGAGAAAATGAGAAAAGGAGAGGGGGAGACAGAGTATGGGGAGCTAGAGAGGGAGGAAGAGAAAGAAAGGGAGGGAGAGAAATAGAGAGGGAGAGTGAGAGAGGGAGAGTGAGAGAGGGAGAGTGGTAGAGGGAGAGAGTGGGAGAGATAGAGAGAGAGAGAAAGAGAGAGAGAGGAGGTTAGAGAGAGAGAGGGGGTAATCAGAGTATAAAGCAGCGGGATACATCTTGAGAGAGAAAAGCAAAAGGATAGACAGAGGAGAAGAAAAGACAAGGAGAGGGGTAGGAATGAAATGACGATGGAGAGACAAGAGGAAAAAAGCGGAGAGGGGTGGGGGGATTAGAAAAATGAACAAAGAGAGAGAAGGACAGAGACAAGGGGACATGGATATACAGGGGAGAGAGCAGAGGGATGGACACGAGGAGAGAGAAGTTGGACCGTCATAAAAATGGAATGTGTTTACACCAAGACCGCCCCGGGAGGCCTTGGTTTACACACGGTAACAATGATTAATTGCTGCGCATACCCTGAACATACGATACGACCATTATTAGCTTTTTTGGTGCTTTTGTTTACGATGTTTAATTTTTTCTTTTTTGTTGTGGGTGTGTGCGGGTTTGTTTTTTTAAATAAGCTTTTTACTGCGCTCGCAACTGCATAAGGTCATGTATGAGCGCTCAGGACACACTAAGCATTTTTAGTTGGTAGGAAATTTTGAATTTTGCTTGGGTAGCGGCCGAAGCCTACTCTTATCAATTTTGGACCACCTCGGGGTTTTAACGTGCCGAACTTGCACACAGGACCTCCGAGATTTTTCGCCCTCATCCGAGGAGGCTGGGTGTTGGATCTTACCTACAATAAGGTCAGGGGTGTGTCTGAAAGACAGCAGTAAGAAGGAGCCAAGGAGTAGCAGTAGGAAGGCTGCAGAAAGAGTCAGGAGCCCAGAGGAGGGGCAAAGGAGGTGAGGGTCTGGGGGCAGAAAGAGGAGACGAAAGCAGGACAACAGAACATTGTCAGAGATCAAGAAAGGATGTGAAAGGAGAAAATTTTAGAAGAAAAAAAAATTCCATCACTATCTGGATTCGAACCCATGGACGTATTGAATGACACCTTAACTTCTAGACCACTAGAGCCCCCTTATGTTGTTTAATGCTGAGCGCAATGAAGCACACAGTCGACCACTCGCGTGCATGATCATGAAATAATTTAAGGCGCACCTTGATAGGGATTTCCCCAGAGAAAGGCAAACACACACACGCACGCGCACACAGA